AAACAAATTAAAAAAAACCATAACAGCAAAAAAACCAACACAAATACAAATTCCAGAAAAAGTCTCAGGTGTCTGTTTTCAGAGTACCCTGCCTTCAGCTCTGGTCCAGAGTCTTTGAAATCAGGTCTGCTACAAAAAGATAAACTAATATTATTGATGCTAACATGGACTTGCTGGTAGGGAACAAGACCAAGGGCATGTGAAGGTCATAACTCATAAAGGCAACCTAAACTCATAAAAGTAACCTAAACCACAAATGCATGAAACCTCTCTGTAGCTTTGCTTTTCATTTTGACCTTTATACATTTTAATATCGATAATTCATAAAATGACAGAGTGCTTAACAATTCACATCTGTATCAATCATTCAAAAACTACCAACCAAAGGAAAATAAAACACGGATTATCACACAGCTCTCAAAGTTCCATCATCTTCAGCATCCGTCATCAAAGTCATCCTCCTTTAATTTCCCAAATTTCTGGAGAGTTAGGATTTCATTTCTCAGTTAGAATTTCACCAGCTGCCTGACTCCTACAGACTAAGGCTACAGTCATCTTCTGTGTGTTGTGTTGAGCTAAGGCTGATCACTGTTAGAAATTAGCTAGGCTAATCAAGGCAAAACCAACCACAAACTTGCCTAAAGCAAGTGGCAGTTACTCCTTCTACAACAAAGTCAGGTCACTTTTGAATACATAAGTAAGCCAATGAGACACATCTTTAAAAAAAAAAAAAAGCAACACAATAGTAGAAACCATTTGCAAGGGAAGTCTGATTTTTAAAACTCCTTTTAAAAACATTCCTATCAGTCCAGGTATTAGGCTATACAGAGAAAATGGGGCAAAATACTTTAAAAGAGTACAAATATTTAAAAGAAAAGTTATGACAAAGCTTTCTTGGTGTTTCAGTTCTATTTTTTACTTTCCTTCTTTCAATTTAATTTCTGCCTACTGGCAGGTATATAACTTGTGAGTGATTTGTTGACCAATCAGTTCTATGAGAATCTCACAGTTTTGCCTATGCCATATTACAGTTACATCTGCATGGCTACATTCTTGCACCACACCTCCCACCTTCAGGGAAATATCCCTACAACATCTATGGCTATCTATGGCTGACAACAAACCACTTACCAAAAGTAAAAAAACCCTGCCTTCTTACTTCTCTGCCAAGCAGTGGAAAATGTAAAAGTATCTATAAATGCACAGCAGTAAATATCCCTATAGCAGTCACACTAAACAACCTTTTGCAGGTCTCCAGCTTAAGGTATTTCTGTGCTCAGTGCCATCCACATAACTTTTTAAATTGCTTTGCTGTGAACTGTACTAGGGAACTGATCTGATCTGATGCAAACAAAACCAGTTTATATACACTAAAAAAGAAGAGGGAAAAAAAGTGTCACTTTTTTCCAGTCATTATCCATTTCAATTCACCCCTGCACCATTACACTACTCTAGGATTGTCACTGAATCATTATTTAGTGAAATCACAACTTCATAGCTACTGCCAGCTTTTAAAAACTGCAGTGACCTGGCAGTTCAAGAAACAGACAGGTACCTCTCCACACCAATCCAACCAAGAGAAGCAAGTTCAGCCCTGTTATCGGAGCAGAGAACAATCAGCCCAACACCAAGAAGGCAAAGAACCAGACCTAGAGACCTGGTCTAGCCTAGCCTTGGCTTTCAAAGAAGAGGCAGTAAGGTCCTAAAGATATGGAGTAGTGATGATACTAAGATTTTAGAAGTATTTTTAAAAGGTCTGGCTGTGTGGGCACAAGTCTGCCCATCTCAGAGCATTCTCTACAAATAAAACTGTGTTTGTGTATTTGCAAACTCCACTTTGCTCAGCCTCTGAGGGTCTGATCCATTAGCACGCCCCACTACCTCTAGTCACAGCATGATGCAAAAACCATTCCATTTGTACAAGCAGAAAGTGACATGCAATTTAAGGTTTTAGGATTCCAGAAGTTTCCCCAAGGTGCACATCCAGAACTGCTGCAGCCCTGATTTGAGCATGTACAGACATTTCAGACACACTGACCAGGCGCCCAGCAACCACACATGCAACATGTCTAATGCACATCGGCAGTGAGCACCCTGCAGGCAGCAGCCCCGGAGGCATCCTTCATGCAAAATGCATCAACACTGCTGGCAACAAAGAATCCAAACCTTCCCTCCCGCTCACGTGGGCGCCATAATGGCTCCAAACGGAATCAAGTTCTGGCAACAAAGAATCCAAATCCTCCCCCCTCTGTACAAGGTACCATAATGGCTCCAAACGGAATCAGGTTCTGGCAACAAAGAATCCAAATCCTCCCCCCTCTGTGCCAGGTTCCATCATGGCTCCAACCGAATCAGGTTCTGGCAACAAAGAATCCAAATCCTCCCCCCTCTGTGCCAGGTTCCATCATGGCTCCAACCGAATCAGGTTCTGGCCCGCACCTCTTGCCCCAGTCCTTCTGTTGCATTGTTACAAAACAGCGCAATGGCCCTGCCTGAAACAGAGGTGCAAACCTTGCTCTTTAAAGATACTCCAGGGACTTTCCTTTTCTTCATCCCTATTCTTTCATATCCCACTGGCTGCCTTGGATGCTCCCTAGTGAGCACACTGGCTATTTTGGTACCGATCCCTCACAGCTCTGGTAGATTTCTTAATTCCAAAGTCAAGTGGGTAAAAAAGTTAGGCATGGAGATGTTAGTCTAAAGAACAGCAAAAAAAAACAAAAGAATCTTTTTCTAAATTAGTTTTCACATGGCCAGAGTGTAAGGTAGATCTCCAAGGGGACTCAAAGAGTGACCATGTTGGCCAGCACAAAAACACTTCTGGCAGGCTGCCTAGGCATGCAAGGTATCATAAATATATAAATCCAGCTGATATTTAGGGATCTCACATGTGCTCAACAAGAGGAATGTGATTAGTCCTGCAACAGGCTTATTTCTTCTGTTTCTTCGCTAAATGCACATAGTTTAGTGTACATGCAGTCACTTTGCCACTCTCTCTCTCTCAAATGTTTATTTTTTTCCTCTTCAGGGGAAAAGAAAAATGCCAACAACCCATTCCTTGTGAGCAATTTCATCCTTTAGCACACTGGATTTTGTTCAGGTCAAGTAACATTTTTGGTAAAGAATATAATTGCAATTGCCTGTTTCTAAGATCTTGTAAATAGCATGACATTATTTTAAAAACTGCATTTACAGTGTTCCTTTAAGTGTTTTAACACAGCTTCAACTGAAATTGCTTTATTCCAAAGCAATTGAATATAGAGTATTTTTATAGGGACCTCTTTGTCTCTCTGTAAATGACTGAGATACAGATCCTTTCCAGAAAGAGAATGAATCAGAAAACATGCAACCTTACATTTTACTAGCCATAGTTATCTAGCACCATAAAACATCAGTTCCTGCAGATTATGTTGTAGCTAAAGCAAAACAGCATGATTAGCAGAGTAAAGTCGTGCCTAGAGGCCTTATGCAAGATTAGGTTTGGCACCATACAAACACACAGGCTCTATTCAGTATGGTAAAGCCATTCTACAGCCAAAGCAGAGGCAATTCCATAGTTCAAAAGCAAAAATTAAGCTAAAAATCAGCGGCACATTCATTCCATTTTCCAGGAAATTCAGGATCACATACCTCCTTGTCATACTCCTTGGACAACATAGACAAATAAAATAGATACAGGCCTAAACAAGCTGGTCAGAAGACACATTGTTATCATCCAGGGCTGTAAGCTTGGTTACATTACAGCTCCAGGAGTGCCTTTAACACGTGGTTTGAGGCACACTTCCAAGAGCTCCTCTAACCTCCTGTGACACAAAGCTGCATAGAAAGAGCAGATTATTTCCCAGTGTGATAAAATCCAGACAACTCCAAATACTTTTCAGCCGGCATCACAAAAGACAAGGTATACACATAACTGCTGGATCCGGTAGCCCTCTCCTAGGCTATACATGAAGCAAAGTCACCCTGCAATTCCTCTTACAGGGGTACCATAATGGAAAGGAGCAAGTTCCAAAAACCTGCCAAAACCACTGACATGTGATGCCATCAGTACCTAACATATTGAAGACATAAAGCAACTTCTTCCACCACCTCCTCTTGTCCCCACCTTGCTCTGATAAGGAATGGTGGAGTCAGAGAGCAAATAGCAGCACAAAGACACAGGTAAAATCAATTGAGACAAAACCCCCACTGTAATAAAGCTTCTTTTCAGGGTAACTCAGTGTCCACTGCAGCAGAGAGCTGCATGGAATTTTTCCACAGCAGAATTGCTCCATGGGTGACTTTCCTGGGATTACCCTTGCCAGTGGGCCCTGTGCATGCTGTGAGTCTTGTGAGACTGGGACTCAACCAGTTCTCCTGAAGGTACATATAAGCAAATATCTAGGCAGTAAAAGAAACAAAATGAAACCAGACACATAAACTGTGACAGGCAGGACAGTGGAGTAAATGACTTGGTTTCTCCTCTCTTTCAGCTGCAGTCATCACTCATGCTACTTTGTACTTAGAAAAGGTCTGAAATTATCAGCACTCATACAAATTCAATGTCCCTCTATCAAGCAAATTCTGGTCTCTTAAGAAATCAAGATGCAGTAATAAGTCATAAGCAGCATAAATACATGGGGTTTTTTCTGAGGGGAAAGTGGAAAGAGTCTTATGATACTTATAAGAATTTACATATTTCTGTACAGATCCAAAATATAACTATGCATGAGCAAGCACTGCTGGACCTGTACAGACTAGCAACAGGACTTTTCATGTGGATATTACACAGTGCTATCACATCCAAAAAACTACCATGGCACTACCATTAAGTGCCATAACACTATTAAATCCATAGTACATAAACTCAGTGGTGTTTCAGGGAAACAGATTGCTCTCTCCTTACTCACCAACCACTTTTCTCTCCACAACTGATCTCACTGAGTGGCTGGAGCCTGTCCACAATGGACTACTCTCCTTTCAAGGACACAGGAGCCCATCATGATGCCAGAATCCCTCACCTCTTCTTTTCTGAGGGCCCAACAAATCCATGTCCAATGCAATGCAATTCTTCTCTTCCATTTGGCTGGAGGAAGGGAAGAATGGCACGATTGAGGGCAAGAAGAGTGAAGTTAATCTGTTCCCAGGCACACTCCATGCTACTGCTAGCACAGGAAAACGAGCGTGGAAGAAGGAGCTGAACAAAGAGGCAAAATGGAGCTGAATGATGCACAAAGGGACACACTGGGTGTGCATGGCAGCAAAATAATCAAAGTGGCATGGTTGTGTCAGCATCTAATAGTTTTGGCATTGCTTGTAATCGTGTTTATTTAGAACTGCATTGCCATTGTGCCTGCATTTCAATCGCTGCTTACCCAAACCTCACTAATTCACATCATCCAGGGCAGGCACTGGATCCCTTCTGCACACAAAAAGGGTTGTAGAGGCAGAGCCTGTGGTATCAACCCCTCACAGAACTCCAGTTAATACAGCTGAGGTGATGCATCCTGCAGGACTGGGTGTTCAGTGTGACATGTCTGACTGTAGTAACAACAAGACATACAAGGAGCCTGTGCCTGGCCACTAACTATTTTTGGTATGACAAGGTTTAGGATTTTAAAGGTAGATGTGGCAGTAACCAGAAACAACATTTAACTCCACTGATACAGCTTCCATAATAAACAGTTCCAGAAAAACAAAAGAGAAAAGAGAATTAAAAGAAAAGTTAAATACATGAAAATTGCATAACCAATTTTCTTTACCTTGCATTAGAACTATCCCAAATATTGTCACATAAGTCAGCAACAAATCTCTTTCTGTTACATTATTGACGTGGTTCTGACAGTCTTAGAAAGATTTACACATGCACTTAAAATTAAGCATGCAAGCAAGTCCCATTGAGTACTGATGTAAGGTTCATGCCTTCACTTGAACAGTCATTTTACAACTAGCTTTTTTAGCATGCAATGTTCACTTTGTTCATAAGACAATAATTTTAAAGTAACTTATACTTTCTGAGTAGTATGGGCAGCCAGTACGTGCCCAATGGATAAAAGTTCACACACGACACACAAAAAAACCCAATAACATTAGAAACAAAGATATTCCACAGTATTCAAAAATCAACTCCTGTATCATTATTACGCAGTTCATACAATTACAGAAATTTATTCACATGCTGTCCACAGCACAGATAAAGTTTAATGGTGTTCATGTGCTTCCATGCCAAGCCACTGTTTTTACAATTTACTAGGCTTTGATTATCTATCAAAATTATTTGAGTTTGGAATTTTCATTAATGCAATTTTTAACTGTTTTGAACGTAGCTTAGTGGTTATGAAATATAAAGATTAAAAATATGATATATACTAGCTCCCATTACAAATACCAATTTCTGACCTTAAGTTGAACAGACAAAGTAGCATAGTAGCAAAGGCAAAATCAACTACAGAAAGAAGTCTCATTGAGACATACCTTAGGACCTCCCACTGAAAATGTGCTTATATTTTACCAAGCAGTAGAACTTTAAAAAGACAGCAAGTCACACTTTGCACATGCATGAGACAACAGCTATGCCCAGAACTTGTAGCAGAATAGGGATCAAGGGTAACTGACATTCACTCAACACAAACATTTAATTTTGCTGTAAAATACACACCAGGTGAACAGCAAGGGGCATTCGCTAGACTAGGTAAATTCTCTTTAGAACTATCTGGCTAAAGGGCAGAAAAACAACATTGTGATTGCATCGTTAAACACTCAAAATGAAGAAATAGGCAGAGCACTCTACGTAAAGCATTAGTGCTTTGTACCTGCATTACCATAAAGATGTTCCACATCGCCTCTTTTTTTGCACAATGCAGAAAAAGAAGCCAGTATCTAGGATGGTAATTTAATTACCAAACGGGTAAAAATCTGCTGGAAAATCTCACCTCTGTTTTTTACTGGAAATTTGTGTGAATATAATTTGTAGCAAAGTTTTCCCAAAACAGTTTCAGAAAATGTTTTCAAAGTTTCAGCCACTGATGTATAACATACATTGTTTAAAATGCTGTGTAAGTTGCAAACATTGAGCTGTATACAGTGAAGGAAATTACCTCAGCCTGTAGTGCTCATTTCTTGATACCTGAGTGCTTAACTATGCAGCCTTAACAGTATCCCATTTGGGTTTTCCTTTTGAGACTGAATTCCTAGAGTTTGCTTAATATGTCAACATTTGAAAACTTGAAAACTTGCAAGCAAAGACCAATTACATTCAATCCCAAAGACTCATATGCCTAAAAGGGTACAATTAAAAAATTAAAGGAAGCGGTCATGCAGGATACTGGCAAGGAAAAAGTACTAAAGAAATTTAAGAAAAAGCATTTAACTCACCAGTCCATTGTTTGGCTGAGGTGAAAAAGGCAAACATTACTGAGATGCATCAGTGAGGAAGTTAGAACACAAATTAAGGCACGTGCCTGCAAGCACATGTGAATAACTTCAGGCCCAGAAGCTCTTTCCATGGTGAAGTTATTCACATGTGTGCTTGCAGAACCTAAGCTCGGATGTTACCTTCAAAGTACAAAATGCTACTTACATTTTGCTACTGACCTCAATATAAAAAGAAATTTACCTGTATTTAACTGTTTCAGCTGAAGAAGACAAAAATCCCCTTGAATCCCACAGGGTAATGTAATTAATCCCTTCTAGCTGCTCACAGTTGTAGTTTGTTTGTTTGCTTGTTTTTAACATAAGTCTCTCAGAACGTGTTTAGGCTTATAAACCAGAAGCCTTCCTTGGAAGCTATGTGAGGACTGCATGAGACCCTGGGGTACAAAGAGCTTATCTCTGCCTGCAATACACCAAGAATGCTCATGACATGACAATTAAGCCATTATTCTTTTTATTGGGTATCTCTCTGCCAAGCCTGATGTAACCTGACATATACAACATTCAATTAAGTGTCTCTTAAAGTGCTGAGTCTTTCCAACAGATGCTTGTGTAGATTTTAGGGAACTGAACTGTGCAAGAAATCTAGCTTAAGGAAAAAGGACACCATGCAAATGTGTAGCATGGAGCACACGTGCCCACCCGATTAGACAAACACTAACTACACATTAAGTATTTTTAAGTATATGCGACTAGCATAGGTTAAAATGGATTGCAGATTACAAACCACTGCTTGGAGAAAAGAAAATAAGTAAAAGGTTTAAAAAGCCAGAGAATAGAACACTTTAAAGTCTTTAAACACCAATAGTTTGGTAAGATGTAACCAACATGTGTGTATGGACCAGTGGGAAATCAAAAATTTTTTTAATGGCTAGATAGGTCAACTTCACAGATTCACAAATAGTGAACACAAGATTTGGGGATGACTGCTTTATATACACTAGGAATGAGGAATCAAATATTGCTCAATCCACTAAAAGAGCATGCAGTTCAGATAACCTATGTTCTTACTGAGAAAGGTGCTGACCAAAGCAGCTCTATCATATCCTAGCTAAAATAAAGGAGCACACAACTGTGGCCACACTGAGCCATGCTTTGAGTTGTTTGGGGAATTTTTTCCTCAATGATTTTTTCCTCAATGTCAGTTTCATCACTGACTTCAATAAAAGGACATGGAGTAATTTCTTTTTGAAGTGTCAGTATTCAAATATGAAACTTAATGGAAGCAGTAAGTATTGAAAAACCAACACTACATCTCATTTTATCTCCCTTTAGATATGGCCTTGATCCAGCTAATGACTATGTGACTAAATAACATATTTCAATTTGTTTATCCTTCTGATCAGCAAAAAAGCCTAAATAGCAGGTATCCACCTGACAGGACAGCACTGAGAAGTAAAAATCCTTGGAAATTATGACCAGATGTGAAAACAGAAGGCAAAAAAAGGTACATGGAGAAAATGGGAGAAAAAGCAGAAAGGGACAATCACGCTAAGGCCTGCAAGCAGGGCAGGGCCAACATCTGTGCCCACTGCGGGAGCGGCCAGCCGCCGTCCCGAGATGCCGCTGCATCCTCCCGTCCGAACAGCGGTGTGTGTGTCTGTCCGCATGCACAGCACGTGTGTACGTGTGTCTGTATGCATCT